AAGATCTATCTTTCTTTATTGAGTGGTCGGGCACAACCCGACCACTCTTTGGATTTGTTGCGATTAATCTTTCTTTCTTTCTTTCTTTCTTTTTTTTTCCGTACAGCACGTTTCCGCGGGTTTTCTCCTAAACGGTATATGATATGAACTTGTAACTATTAGCATATATTGACCCTCATTCCGAGTAGTGCATATTACACTGACGTCATGATGACGTCATCGGGTGTCAAATTACAAGCGATTTTCGTTGAAAAATGACGATCTTCTTTCATCTATAACTCTTCAACAAAATGATCAATTATGCTCCAACCTTGTAATGAGATAGACCATGAATTGATCAACATTTTTTGTCGTGTACGTAAACTCGCTTGACCTTTACTACCGGGTCTACCGGAAAGTCAAATTTAGGTGAATTCAAAATGAAGACATTAGCCTGAAATCGAAACAAAGCACAATTTCTTCCGAACGGTTTACCGTTTAGATCATAAAACCTATTGTGAACTTGAATCATGTTACGAAGATGTTATAAGTGTTGTTACGTCATCATGACGTCATCAGGTATCGAATTACAAGCAATTTGATTGCACGATTTGACAAAATAATTTTACCTATATCTCTTGAACTAAATAGAGTATCGTGTTCGTTTTTTCGTGAGGTTGTAGACGGTACGTAGAGCAACATTTCTTAATTCCAGGCACAAAACTGCTCGAGCTTTACTTCCGGTGTTACCGGAAGTGCAATAAAAACTAAATCTTACTCTAAAACGGAAGCATTTTACTACAGACAGATATATTATGGAAGTGTTAAGTGAGGAATGCCATTCACAAAAACGTAATTTTGACGTCATCCCACTAAAAGGCGCCCTCTAGCGGCACATCGAAAACCGTTTAATCTTTTAAAATGTTACAGCCCTTGATCAAATTTTTATGATAATTGCCCCTATATATCCCCTTATGCAACCACAAATGAATTTGCAAGGTTTCATAATCATGACATCATCAGACCGGAAGTTACTGTAGGGAGAATTCAACAATGATCATTTTATTTTGAATTTAAATCCATCATTTGATCCCTGTCTCATGACTTTGTTCCCCCCCGAAAAAAAAATGACATCTGTTACACTTAATATTGACCTTTTGCTTCCAAATACTGTGACTTCATCAAACTGGAAGTTATCTGTTAGTATTACATGCACTAAATTTCCATATTTCCATGCGTTATTTTACTAAATAATAAACAAGTGTCCTCCCTTCCTTTTTTTGACTGATGACGCCATCAAACCGGAAATAACTTGTACGTGTACCTAACTGTTTACTGAAATGTATCATACCTTAAAAGATGCAATCTTTTTGTACAAAATAATTGGTACTGGAAATGTTGAAGTTCTCGGTCCTTTTTTTCTGACATAAACATATTCATAACTTAATTGGACAATCTCTAATAAAATGGTTGTCTACCCGACCACTCTGCGTTTGTAACAACAAACGCGAACCTCTAGTTGTTTTTATCTTTTTTCCATGGAAAGTGAATTTGGATTTTCAATTATTTAGCTTGACCCACCCACCCACAATTTGAAAAAAAAAGATCGAAATTTTAAAACATTGAAAATTCTGAATGGCCCCTAAAAGTTCTATCATAGAGTTATTTTAGCTTTAATATCCCTCGTTGTTGTCCTCAAAAGGAAAAGCAACAATTCATTAGCACGCTTTCAATTTGTATGAATTATATATTTATATTGTATAAATAAACAGAGATCTGCTATAAGCCTTGCTGCGAGGTGCGTTTTTGGAAAAGCCAATGAACTGCTAAAATCAGCCAGCTTCGTTTTTCTAAAAATTACTGCAAGTCAGGTCAAGCTGTTGTGTTGCATATCACTCCCGACAGTGGCGCTTGCAGTAAACTATGTGAGTGATACGGTATTTACCATTTGTATTATAGTAGATTTCAAACTCTTTGTAAAAACAGCAATTAAACTGTTTTCCCAACATGGCCATAAACATAAATAAGGCGTCCGTGAAACAATTGACGACTTTACCGGGTATCGGGATCAAATTTGCGGATACAACACATGTTTGGGTAAGGTTTATCGGTCGCAAAATAAAGAGGAACACTTAAGGAAATCATGGTAAAAATATGGGTTGAAAGAGTGTTCACAGTGGGAGTAAATAGAGTTGTTTTGCCGGTTTTCTTAACTGCACGAAAACAGGAATGTCCGCAGTAGTTATGTGTAAATTATACGACTGAGGACTTGGGACAATGTGCGATAACAATGGGCCCGGCGCTGCCCGAGGACCAGGGCACTAGTCCTCGGAAGAATTTCTTGTACAAACCTTATGCCAGGAGCTGTCGAGAAAAAGTCGAAATACATGTACCCTATTTGTTTTGGTCATTATTTTTTACTGTTTGACGGTTGCCCATAAAATTAAATATCATTATGTTAAAGAGTCATAATGACCAGTCACTGGACGAAGTTTCAATTTTCAAATAACCTCTTTTTTATTTGGGAGCAACAACTCCAACAAAAATTCCAAACGCCTTGGAGATCTACGTACCAATTAGGTCTATGGGAGTCGATTTACAGATTCGTATTTTGTAGCTGAAAAAGTTGGTTTTCTCTTCTGCATCGAGGCTCCGGAGAATTTTTTTAAGGGAAGGAAAGTCCGAAATTTGGCACAAGACGAAAATTACTAGTTTCCACTCAAGCACGACGATAAAACAATGCTCCCATAGGAAAGCACACGAAAGTGCGAGGTGTATACCCAGATCGTTGTGTAGAAATTAACAAAAATAGGAACATTCCCGCCTGGGGGTGTCAACAGCATTTGGCGGTTCCGCAACAAATGCTCCGTCAGTTTGATGGGTATCTTAAACGTCTTGGAGAGTTGTGAGTATAAAAAAAACACTAAAAATAGGAAATACATGTACGTGTAATTATCACTTAGGTCTATGGGAGTCGATTTACAGGTCTGAAACCCTAGTGGTCTCGCACCAATGCCTACTGTAATCTTTTCTTTCTTTCTTTTACAATAGAGGGCGCGCCACATGTTCTCGATCTCCACCATTAAACTCGGTTAGGGGGGCAACTACTCAAGAAGTACACGATGTATTGCACTGAATTTTTGCCCACTGAATTGTCATGATGTTTAGCATTAGGAGTTTTAATTTCACATGAAACCGTTAAATAATTAAGCTAAGTTATGACCGTAACAATACAGTGTTTTAAGCGCGACAAATACAATCCGAATGAAAGTCAACCTGGATTTTTCGCGTTAACACACTTCATTGTTGCGATCATAATTATGCTTATTGCTCGACGGTTTCTCATAATATTTAAACTTCTAATGTTACACATCGTGGAAAATCATTGCACGAAATTTCAGTTTCATACATTTTGTATTTCTTTAGTTGTTTCTCGAAAACGACTTTGATCTTTTTTTTCAATTGTGCAGCATCCGTGTTGATGCTTTGTGGAGGACACCACTATTTATGTGGCGCGCCCTCTATTGAACGAAACTTAAAGTAGGCACGTGCGCAAGTTTGTCCTGGTACAAGACCACTAGCGTTATTTAGCGAACCCTTTCTCGAAAGAAACTTTCATTTGTTGATTTACGGTTTCTCACGAAATTGAAACTTTTAATTTAATTGTTAATTTTAAGTCGGATTAGAATTTTTAGTTAGGCCGATTTTCTGTAGACCGTGACTTCACTTTGGATGGGTTTTGTCCGTGTTACTAAATATTATATCGACGCCGATAATCCGTGTGTTTTCTCTCAATATTTAACCTGCTTGTGTTGCCAGTCAAGCTCAACCTGTAGGACAAATTTCAATCCAATAATAGTTTTAAAGTTATCGTGTGACAGGTGAGATTGTTTTTTCTGTTTAATAGTAAGGCCGATTGTCTGGACACCGTGACTTCATTTTTGCAGTTTTGTCTGTGTCACCAAAAATTATATTGACGCCGATAAACTCTTTATTTTCAAAAGGTATCAAAAGGGAGGGGGACCCTGAACCCCCACGCCCACCCCGAACAAATGGGGGGAAAACCTTAATTGTCCTTAAGTTCCCAGAATAACGTCATCCCTCATTGCAAATCTTGATTCAGGCCTTTGGTCTTTTTATGTGTTGACTGCAACGCCTCATCCGCCTCCTCATTCCCTCCCCTTTGACAAATCTTGGACTTAAAAAAAACTCAGCCACCCGGCCCCTCCCACTTCATTTTGAAACATTCTGGATCCGACACTCTTGTCTCGATTCTCCTTGTCACTCATTTATACCAAATCTCAAATAAAAGTCACTTTTATCTCCCTGAATTAATTGACGCCCCTGAATTAAAGATGACAAGGGAATACTTTGAAATGATTTGATACTCATTGCAGACAGTTTAGGAGTTTCTTTCACTAAGTACCATTGTATTAGATTGCTGGAAAAAGAATTTGTTTCATAATTTTTCTATTTTTCTTTTAGCTGCCTGGGTTCAATCTTTTACTACATGTTCATTATTATTATTGAAGCTTACTTTTTAGCTTTTATTGTGGTATTTTGACGTAAATTTCGCTTCAAAAGGTGAAATCTATTTTTAACTCTAAGAATGTACCTTAATATAATTTTATATAATTACTTTGTAACTTCAATAACATAGTTTCATCATGTGCCTTAAATTAAATAGAAAAGTTGAAAAATTCACAAATAAGCACTTTCTACATCTAAATATTTCATTGTCAATAACAGAAATGTCTATAGATGCAGATGCATTTAATCTTTTGCGTTTTAAAACTTAACATAAAACAGCGTTTGTCATTTATTACAATTTCTTACTGACATCACAAGACTTTGACATCAAATTATTTACTAAATTATCTTCACAGTCATTTGAATGGATGTGTGTTGACATTGGCAATACATATTGGTCAGAATGAATTTTTATTTTATTTTGGATAGCGGTTTCGAATCTTTAGTCGCACAGAGACTATAATTGACCAGTTCATAACGACGTTGGGTTCTTAAAAGTACAGCTGTGGTGCAGGTCGGACGCATATGCCAAGGCGTGGGTAATGGCATGGCAAGTCATTCCATTTCCCTTCTGGCCATACCTCAGCGCAGTGCTCATTAGAATTCGCGTAATCGGGTTGCTTGTCTGCCCAATTCCTGAATTCCACTTCGTCAGTTCCATCCTGACACTTCCATGTACCTATAAATCAAAAACAAAACAAAATAAATAACAAATAAATACATGCAGATGTAGGAATCGACAAACAATTATGATTCTTTAAACGAAACACCTGTGATCTTTTATTTGTTGAAATTCTGTTAGTAATTGTGCCTCCTGATTCTTTGCATCTCCTAACAATTCTGTGAAACAAAAAAGTCGAACATAGAATTTCAACAAACCTTCCTCGAGATCGCTGCAATTGATCCAAAACTCGGATGGAATTGGCTCTAGCAGCAGGAGGAAATCAGCTTCCTCCTGAGACTGTGGCACGACCAAGACACTTCCCATCTTGGTGCACTCATCTTTTGCCTCAGACCAAGTCAGAGGCTTCATGGCGGCTTTGTAACATTTGCCACCCCACTGGATCCAAGTAGAAGGACACGCCCCTCTACGACCACCAATGGAGGGCTTACACATCATACCACCAGTGTAAACCATCATCAGATGAAGGCTTATCAAGCCAAAGATTAAGCATTTAGACACCATCATTTCTCAGGCCTTACATAACTGGTGGCTGGTTCTGAAATGATGACTGCCGGTGTTGAATCATCGAAACAGAAAAATATCGCAGCACCGGTCCTCATATTTTCTTTTAATTAAGAGTGGAGATACCAAGACACGATGGAAACTCCTCCTTTTGTATCTTAGACAATAGACCCTGTGCGTTGAGGGCGTCTCGAATGGTATCCTTTGTTATATTAATTTGTTCACGGTGACTGCACCAAAGGTTTATTCAATACAAAACCACCCGCGTCCTCTTATTATGCAGAATTGATCGTTGGCAGTGAACGTTCGACTCCTGTTGCCATATTGTGTTTGTCATCAGGAGACATTTCAAATTTAATTTCAAAGTTAACCTGCGATTAAAAATGAGATGTCTGCCATGCATTTTGTACTCAATAAAGACATGTCAGTCAAATACTGTAACCCCACGGTTAGTCACCAAAAATCTTTAAATCGTTTGGCCGTGGTAATTAGAAAAGCGTGGGGCGTGGGCTGGAAACTACATGACACTATAGGGGGCGCTGTTCAGGACACGAATGCACATGCGGACGTGCGTGCTTACGTCCCTTGACCTTACATCAAAACGATGCATTTAAGGCTTTTCTATATTGTGTTCTCCATTTTCCATTACTATTTAACACACTTGGACTATTGGAAAGTTAAAAGAAAACGTCAACATCGGCATATTTCGGTTTCTCACCACAAAATTGTGGGGGAGGGGGAGATGTTCCAATGGCCCTTCCATCCCTTCAAACAAAAGGGGGCATATTATATCCTCCCCCATCCCCACTCCCAACCCCACCCCAACCCCACCCCAGGATCTACGCCCTTGCCCAGGGCATAGGTAATGGAACAACCAGAACCTCTGTTATTTCAATCATTTTGCAAAGGCGGATCCAGGGGTGGGGGGACCCATCCCCACCCACACCGACAACTAATGGAAAAACCTCAAATTTCCTTAATTTCCCGAAACACCGTTATCACTCATGACTGTAAATCTTGATTCACTGCTTCAGGCAGCTCCCCGATCGACAAATCATGGACTTACAAAAACTCAGCCACCCCCCCCCCCTTAAAAAAATCCTGGTTCCGTCACTCTTTAGTCAATTCTCTTTATCCCTCATTTCTCCCAAATCTCAAATAAATATCACTCTAATCTCCCTGAATTAATTGACGCCTTTGAATTAAACATGTCAAAAGAATACTTGAAAATGATTTGATGCTTATTGCAGACAATTTAGGAGTTTATTTCACTAAATACCATTTTATTAAATTACTGGACACAGATTTCTTTTTCATAATTTTCTCAAAGTTCTAGCTGCCTGGATTTAAACTAATTATTTGTGATTATTTTACCGTACATTATTTTTAAGATATAATTTCTGTCCTCTCGATTTTTTTCTAAACGGATTTTTATACCAAGCGAGAGTAGAATTATTGTCTGACTACAATACATTTGCAACGTATTATTATTTCTTAGCTAAACGTAAAGATGTTTTCTTCTTGTCTCATTTAAAAGTGAATAACGTTCGTATTTCAGAAAAACAGCAATTAATGTTTTAGAGGTTCAACTTGAAAACAGCACAGACAGTACTTTTTAATTTTAATTTTCGAACCGCTTTTTAAAATTTAAAACAATTTCTGTAGTATTTATACATTTAGTAAAACTCGTTAACAAAAAGGTATTCCAATTATCTTAAATGTCATTTCTATACATGACTTTGTTTCGACAAAGTCAACGTATATTGGCCAGAATGAGTTTTTGTATTTTGATTTGGATAGCTGTTTGGATAGCTATAATTGAGCAGTTCATAATGACATTGGGTTCTTAAAAGTGCAGCTGCGGTGCAGGGCGGACGCACATTGCACGGTATAGGCTAATACAGTCCACGTCAATCCATTCCCCACTGATTAAATATACCACAGCGCAGTCCTCATCTCTCCGGTTATTGGGTTCTTCTCCAAGAGTCCACCAATTCCTGTACTCCACCTCATCAGTACCATCCTGACACTTCCAAGTACCTACCATAAATGAATAAATAAATTAATAGATAAATAAATGAATGAATAAATACACAGCAACCAATAAGTACTTGCAGATGCAGAAATCGACAAACAATAATGATTCTTGAAGTTAGTGAAACACCACCGATCTTTTAATTGTTGATATATTCTGTAGTATTGCCTTCTGATTCTTTATCTGATTAAATCATACACATTTTTGAAACAAAAAAAATATGAAGCTTAAAATGTCAACAAACCTTCTTCCTTGAGATCGTTGCAATTGATCCAAAACTGGGATTGCAGTGGCAATAGCGTCATGAGGAAATCAGTTTCCTCCTGAGACCGTGGCGCGACCATGGCACCTCCCATCTTGGTGCACTCCTTTTTTGCCTCGGACCAAGTCAGCTTCACCATGATGGCTTTGTAGCATTTGCCACCCCACTTGATCCAAGTAGAAGGACACGCCCCTCTACGACCACCAATGGAGGCCTTACACATCTCGTCACCAGCAGTGCAACCCATGATCAGATGAAGGCTTATCAAGCCAAAGATGAACCGTTTACGCACCATGATTTATCCGGTCTTACCCCACTGGGGTCTAGTGATGAAATGACCAAACCACCGCATATCAAGCTCTCGTAAACCAGACCTCATTGCATATGCAGTTGATCAGATGAGTGGTAATACGGAGCCCTTGAGGTGCCATCAAATATGTTGAGATCCAGAGATATTTTATCACGGAATGACGACATCGTAAAACTAGAATGTCGACATCCTGAAATAATTTATCAAAGGATAACGACACCCCGAGGGTAGGGTGTCGAAAACTTGAGAAGATTTATCACAGGATGACGCCTTCCTGAAAGTGAGATTCCTTTCTCACCGCTCCACTAAACAGCATTTGAAATATCTCAGAATGTTGACATTTGATTTTGAGGATGTCTTCATCATGGGGGTAATTATCTCAGGACGTCAACATCCTAGTTTGAAGATGTGATCATCTCTTGATAAATTATCTCAGGATGTCGACATTTTAAGAACAACAACTTGGATGGCACCGCTAGATCTCTAGAGTACGGAGCTCTGGAAGTGCCATCTGACTTGTTCAGATACTGACTTATTTTATCTCAGGATGACGACAAAATACAGGCAAGATGACGACATCCTGAGATAATTTGTAAGGGGATGACGACATCCTCAAAGTAGGATGACGACATCTCGTCATAATTTAATATGGCATGACGACATCCTGAAAATAGGATGACGACATCTTAAGACAATCTCTTCTGGCATGATGACATCCTGAGATAGTTTATTAGGGGATGACGACATCCTGAAAATAGGATGACGACATCCTGAAAATAGGATGACGACATCGCGAGATAATTTATTAGGATGTGACGACATCCTGAAAGTAGGATGAGGACATCCTGAGATATCACGAGGTGCATTGAATCCATCTTGGAAACGCGCGTGACCTCTCATCATCAAATAAATACCATGAATATACAGCGATATGATAAATTTTATACAAGCCGCACGTCCACCTGTGCGTTTTCAAGATGGCTTCAATGCACCTCGTGATAAATTATGTCGTGATGTCGTCATCCTGCTTCCAGTTTAGCGTCATCCCATAACAAATTATCTCAGGATGTCGTCATCCTACTTTCAGGATGTCATCATGCCATAATAAATTATATCAGGATGGCGTCATACTATTTTTAGGATGTCGTCATCCCCTGATAAACTATCTCAGGATGTCGTCTTCCTCATTTTAGGATGTCGTCATCCCCTAATAATTTATCTAAGGATGTCGTCATCATATTTTAGGATGTTGTCATGCCATAATAAATTATATCAGGATATCGTCATCCTATTTTCAGGATGTCGTCGTCCCATAATAAATTATATCAGGATGTCGTCATCCTATTTTCAGGATGTCGTCGTCCCATAATAAATTATATCAGGATGTCGTCTTCTTGCCTGTATTATGTCGTCATCCTGAGATAAAATAAGTCAGTATCTGAACAAGTGGGATGGCACTTCCAGAGCTCCGTACTAGAGCTCCGTAGCTGTAGGATGTAGACATCCAGAAAATATTAATCCCAGGAACACGACATCCTTTCAAAAAAAAAAAAAAAGGTCAAATGTCGACATCCTTAAGCTTCGAAATGCTGATTTGTGGATTGGTGAGAAAGCATCCTACTTTCAGGATGTCGTCATTCCGTGATAAAATATATTTGGATATTGACACCTTACGCGTAAAATGTCGTCATTCCGAGATAAATTACCTCAGGATTTCAACAACTTGGATGGCACTTCTAGAGCTCCGTAGTAATATCCATTATTTAATAGCCATTCTTTATTGGTGCGAGCGCCAATAATTCAGTGAAAACCAATTTTACAGATAAATCCACATAATGTCTTACATTATTTTTAGCCTACGGAGGAAATGTTGAAAGTTGTTTAATGTATAAAATTGTACTGACGTAAATGAAGTGCACAGAATAAAGAAACAATCATGAAATAACTTTCGTTTTAACGACACCTCAAATTAAAAACTCACGTCACTCCTACATGTATATCGCTCCAATTGTTATGCTTTAAAACTCGCCGGGCATGCTCAGACATCTAGAGTGAACAAATATGAGAATTCGGTGTTAAGATTTTCATTTTAAAAGGAATATTTCTTTGCACACCCCTTTTTAAAGAGTAGAAGAGCACACAGGCTATCGCACTCGTCTCACAGACCCCTTTCCGCCACCCGCGGTATACGTACATGTAAAATGTTCACAAATTGACTTGATGTAGTTCTATCTATAAAATTATTGAAAAGCATTGCTAGAAGCTAATTCCGAAACTGAGACTAAAAATGACATTTTATCAAAATGCGGCGCGCAGAGGCAATTAATGGTTGTGTCTCTTGTTGACGTTCATAAATTATGCAAAACTTCAGCTCGTTTATTTCATTTCTACGTGCAGCGGTACAAAAGGAACCATGAATATACTGATGATCATAGGGTTGTTTACGATGAAAAGGTACGCAGTTGCTATGATGCAAAGCGTACATGGCAATTATCATCTATGGAGAAGCTGGTAGAAAGCCTATAGCGCATCAGTATCAGCTGAACAGTGCATGGTTGTATACTCTTTAAAGGGAAAGGATAAGAAGGGTATAGTCTAATCAGTAATGTAACTTAATTCTTCAACAAATTTGAAAAAGTCGGTCCATTAAGATTATTGATAAAAAGTGAGTAAATTTACCTAAAACGTCGTCCTATACCTCTATTCCAAACCGACTTCATATTCCCAAACCAGTCATAAACCCCCGTGACCTAATAAATGGATCAATAAATTGGCGCTTAATCCAAGGCAATAAACTATACTCTCGCAAATCTTTCCCAAAGCCTCTTTTATTGCCTTCAAAAAAGGCCCAAAAACATCCGGGAGAGACTCATGGACCATATTCTCGAGGCAGCCATTTTGGATGTGTTCCCTGAATGTATTTGATAAATTGTTAACTGTTGAACGGGATGGTGCCAGACTATTTGTGCATTCTAGCCTCACTGTCAATTATTTTGTTTGTTATTTGTTATTTTCATGACGTTATATATACGATGTAAAAAAAATAATAATCACACGAACATTTTGAAGTAAAACGGATATCTTCATCGTAGCAATTTAAAAAACAACAACAACAAAGTAGGCCTAGGCCTAAGCCAAGCAAAGCTGGTCCAAATCCAACAAAATTCCATTCATTTGTTTCAGAATGGCTATTCACTGGAGGCCTTTTGTGTGCATCTGTGTACGCAATGGGACCATTCATTTGGCGTTGCTGGGTAATCCTACATGATAGTACTGCCCGGCTCACCAGTGTCAGTGTCTGTCAGGTACAAAGAGGGGATTATTAATAGCCCTCACTGGGACAACAAAATGGTTGTGTGTTTTTTTAGCTCGTTTGTTTGTAGATTGTGTTTAACAAGCTTACAAACTCATGGGGCATCGACCGGGGAACATCTGTGATTACAGTGAACAAAAACAAAGAAACGTAGATCCTAAACTAAAAAAAAAAGTAGGCCCACATGTAAACAGGTATATTGAAGGTGAATACGTGTGTGGTACATTTTGAAACGGTGTGCGTTTAGGTGAAGTTGAAGGTGAAACTTCGCATAAATTGACTTGATATATCTAAATTATTGAACAGCATTGCTAGAAACTAACAACGGACACTGGGACTGAAAATGACATTTTATCAAAATGCAGCGCGCGGAGGCAATTAATGGTTGTTTCTTTTGTAGATGTTCATAAAATATGCAAAGCTTCAGCTCGTTTATTTCATTTCTATATACATGCAGCGGTACAACTACTGATTAATGACATCATTAGAGTTGTTTTCAATGAAAAGGTATTGATGCTGTGATGCAAAGCGTCATGACAATTATCATCTATGGAGAAGCTAGTAAAAAGCCTAGCGAAACTGCGAAGGGTAGCCTCATCAGTAATAGAACTTATAATTCTTCCCCCAAAAAGGTCCATTATTGATAAAAAGAGTAAAACCTATACCTCTATTCCGAACCCCAGTTTTTCTAAACCAGCCATAAACCACCGTGACCTAAATAGCCTGACACTGACGCTTAATCCAAGGCAACAAACTACTCTCGGAAATCTTTCCCCAAACCGCCTTCATCATTGCCTTAAAAAAAGAGGCTCACTCAGGGAGAACCTAGAGCCAAACCGAACCCGACAAGCCGAGAATATTTATTGCTGTCCCTTTTAGAGAAACAAACCGAAACCAACTAAATCCAATGGCTTCATTCACATAAAACATCCAAAACAACCAATCTTGATTGGAATAGGCCGATACGCAATCCCAACTACGACTCTTCTTTCTGAATCACCCACATTATGGGTGCAACCAGTGTACAGGGTACATAAAAAAAATAAGGAAACCCAAATGTAAATGTAAATTATAAAAAATCTAATAAATATGTTCAAATAAAAAAAAATGTGTCGTCTTTACAATGATACCTTGATTATGTGTCTGTGGCCACGGATGACTGAGCATTCGTTGTTATCCTGTCAAGGGTCAAAACCTGCACTGGGCCAAGTTTGTGCAATTACTGGTATTCTGGGCATGTGCAACGGCTTAATTCAAAGAAAGAAGACATCCTTTTCTTTAAAACAATGTTGACACAGCGATTTAACCACTCTCATTGTTGAAGTTAACCCCTCATGGCCCAATGCCTCAACATGGCCACCACCTCATATTCCACACAAAGCTTTGCACGAAGTCTAGTCCATTTCAACCTTTGCATAACAAACCAGCCAGCAATCTTAGCCAGGTAAAACTTGGCTCAGTACAGGCTTTGACCCTTGACAGAAAATAACAACGAATGCTCAGTCATCCGTGGCCACAGACACACAATCAAGGTGTCATTGGAAAGAGGATACTTTGGCGTTTCACATGATATCGGTATATTAACTTGTTTGAAAAATTTATTACAGTTTTTATCATTATTTTACATTTACATCTGGGTTCCCTTTTTTTTGATACACCCTTTAAAAATTCC